TTCAGATTGGTGGAAGTATTTCTAAAGCATAATCTTCAAGTTGTGCTCTCGAACACTTCCTGATATTAAGTTTCCATTGACTTGACTTGCGTAGTCAGGACTGTGCGTCTTGTCGCTATATGAGGTTGATAATTGAGCGAAACAGCCTCAACTCTTGTAGGCATTCGTATATCCCATTGACGAATGCTGGTATTAATATTTTAGATAAAAGGCATAGTAAAATGGTTTTATTGATAGGAAATAAAGTAATCAATCAGGCGAATTACCAAAATCTATTCTTGTTTCAAGGATATTTTCTAAGTTAATTCTTGTGACAACAACTGGTGACTGATTGGGTCGTCTGCTGCACGTTGCTCAGTTCGATCCGCACAGTCAAATCGTTTCAACTGATTTACTGCTGCAGACGATCTGAACATCCGCAAATTTTCGTTGAAGACACAAGTCGAAATGTTCGCGTCTGTCAGTCACCTGACTGGACCACACTTATTGCGTTGTGTGCTTTTTTCAATTAAACCACTTTATCCTGTTCTATTTATTATGAATACCAATACGCCAGCACAGTTTTTAACCTCTGAGTATTTTTGATATGATAACAGATAGACTGCCTCATGCTGAATGCCACTGACGCAAAAACAGAACCACTCACAACCTTAGAAGGGATGCTGACATATTAGCCTCATGTAAAATAATCCTCCGTACATGGTCAGGCAACCGACTTTTACATTCCACGTTTACAATCGAAGTCCCAATAGAAAGCTCATCAAAACAGCCCAAACATCGCCGTTTTATGGAGAACTACGATTTGACCCGGACGTTTTCCCTCAGCCATTAATGAACCTTTAAATTGACACCAGCGAGGGTATTGATGCGGATTATGACCACTTTTTAAATGCAATCAAGGCTACCCTTAAAACATCAGCCGGACAGCCGGCCGAAGTGAAAATGGACAACTTGCATCATGAATTGTGCAGAAACACGGAAGAAGTTGATGGAAGACTTCGAAAATTGCAGGAGAATGCGACGAAGTGAGTCTACGAAGCGGCAAGAAAATGCTTACAAACAGTGAAACCGTGGATGAACGCGACCTGCATTGAGTTCTACGACAAACTTTCACTTCAAGAGCAAGTATGAGTGGAGGCTCCTCATATGCTGCACCACAAATCGTTCCTGAAGTCACCTGGGACAAAGCTGAGTGGGCAATTAAAAACATTAAAGGTGGTAAATATCCAGACAAAGACGATATGAGACAAGAACAATCCTGTTAAAAGCGCTTGTCAAATGTTTTACGGAATGCAGCAGGCCAAACAAGACGCCTAAATGTGGGGAACATTAAGGACGACTCTTCTCATGAAGAATTGCAAATACGAAAATCTCGAGAACTATCGACCAGTTATATCATGCCATAACTTCACAAAACATTCGCACGCACAATTTT